ATCAGTAACTTTAAAATCTAAACCAATAGAAAACGGTCAATACATATCTAGAGATGGTTACCGGGAGACGCAATTATATCGCTCATGAAGCAATTTAAATCATTTCACTTTATCCTAAATACTGCGCTAAAGATGTCGTCCAGAAAGACGACGAAAGCTCTGCAACTAAACCAACCAGCTCAGAGAACACTATTAATTGCAGGTCACAAGGCAGGTTTTACTACCTACTGTAATGAATACAAGAATTATAAGCAGTTAAAGAATAGGCTAGGAAAAAAATAACACATATATATTTGCGATTGTACAGCTAAGAAAATGAATTCGCCGAAAAGAGACTCTTCACGGATCTATGTGTTTTGTTCTCAAAGAAAATATTTAGCAATCGTAATTACTGTGAAAGCTTTTATTCTTCAAAACACGGAAAAAACTACCCTTTTAAGATAGAAATGCGTTATTTTTAACCCCATCTTCTATAGAACTCATGAAGAATTTAAAAAGTAGTATTCACTGAGATGTTTAAAAATAGCTTACAATTATTATTTTTTTATTAATTAAGATATTTAAGCTATAAAAAGGTATTAAGTGTGAATTAGACTGAATGTACTGTTATGCTGAATATCATTCATTCAAGGTTTAATACACTAATACACTATAATCCTTAAAATATATCCTCTTTTCTGTCTTTCGTAATTTGTCCTAATGGATTAACAGCTGTAATTATTCTTATACAGATGAAATGCATTAGCTAATCAGGTGCACTTTGTTGGGGGGGGGGGTTGAGCATTCTCGGTGCGTTTATTTAACTAAGTAAGCCAACAACAATTGAAGAAAGAATTTATAACACTTGCTCAGGTGATTATGTACTGATAACTCCTCTTTATTTTTCTGTAGTTCGGTTTGTAAGGGTTAGTTATGGTTTTATGAGTTGATCTCGGAGTAATATCAGTTAGAGAGAACCATTGAAAACCAACGAGTACTGGACAGCTGTTTGATCCTAGTTTGAGAATCATCAACACTACGCACCCACCAACAAGGTTTGAACCCAAGACCTTCCGGTTACAAGGCAAGTTCGTATACCATTCATTCACTGGGACCCGATTCAATGGTTAGTCCATGAATTCTGACTTCTATCAATTCGTGATTTAGTGCGACCGGCACCAACCATTGTCGTAGGTGGGACATCCATCCTCACATGTGACATTTAATTGGACCTCACTGGTCACGACTTCTCACTAGAACTTCAGGGAACTCCATCCTGTAGCAAGTCACTCGCTAGAGAGCATCAGATTAATTTTCTATAGTTCGGTTTTTTGGAAGGTCCTGGGTTCGAATCCCAGTGGGTGCATACTGCCGATGCTTCTCAGACTAGGATGAAACAGCTGTTCAGTACTCCTTGGTTTTCAATGGTTCTCTAACTGATATCAATCCCTGATCAACTCGTAAAAACTCCTCTTTGCTGTTTGAATGCCTCTCTTTTGAGTAGATTTCAACTCTACAGAATAAGTGTCAAGAACTGGTTAAAAACTCCTGATTATTATTACTATTACCTTTAGACGAAAAAATACAATTTTCTCAGGATTTTAATTTTCAAATACTAGGAAAACGTTATCATTCGATAATAATGTATGCAAGGTTCATTAGTTTCAGCGAAATTAGACGCCCAATGGATTGTGAACGTTTATTGATGTTATTGTTATTATTAATATTATTTTCAGACATTTGAATGAGTTTGAAATAAGGAAGTAATTCCAACTTCTTCTTCTTCTCTTTGTCTAACAAAAAATGGGGTTAGTAATTCATCTTGGTAATTGTCAAGAGAATAAAATAACTTGAACATGAAATATATTCATTAGATATTTAGTGCTCAGCCTAACGAGTCACACTTCCATGTACTGACTTTTTATGACTAACATGTAGGCGGTATTGTTTTGGACTTTGTTTTGGTTATTTGCAGTTCATTTTTTATATCATAGAGAATGAAACTATTGGCTTTTGATTAACAAAGTGTCAGTGTGGTTGCTGTTCATTAGTTCAAGTTATCGCCATACTTTATCTCTACACAAGGAGTAGAAATTTTTGCGTAGGCAGACGGGGAAGTGTAATTCAAATTACCAATAATAAGTCAAATGCGGAGATAAAAGTTTGTTGTTATAAAACAATCAGTATTGTTAACAGCAATTTTCCCTTTTGGTTTCAATTTTGATTTTCTGGTTAACTGATTGAACCGAGATGTTCGGCCTCTGTTGAAATGTCGGCTACTTGTGCGCGAATGCTTCAGCTATGTCTGAGGATTCACTTGAAGTATTTTGGTGGATGGCAATTAGCAGTGGAATTCAAGACGCTCATTTTTTCCTATTCGGGGCTCTTCACCTGGATGCACCTTCACTCCCCAGCGAGTGATTGATGGCGTTTCTGTAGAGGCTCAAACTCAGTACCCATTGTTTCAAATTCCACTGCTATTCATCATCAACCAAAATACTTCCAGTTAATCTTCAGACGTCGTCGAAACGTCCGTATTAGGAGCCATCATGTCAACAGATGTCGAATATCTCTCATCCGATCAGCCAACGCGAAAATCAGTATTAACTTTGAAAATAAATAATAACCGATGCTTGTCTCACAGGAGGTGGGTCCCGTGGCCCAAGTAGTCTAGTGGATAATGCTTTGGAGTTTGAAACGATGGACTGTGGGTTCAAGTCTCAGTGGGAACACCATCACTCACTGACTGAATGGGGAATGCAGGTACATTCAGTGACAAGTCTCAGACCGGACGAATTGCTACCTACCATCCACCGAATTACTACAAAACAATTATTGCTTAACTAATATGAAAGTATAATCCCATTGTGTGTAAAATTTTATTTTGATAAAATCACACAGAATTATACACGGTATTATTCACTGATGATCACGTTTCAAGTACAGTTTATCTTTGGCAGTCATAATCATCTTAGGGCACTCACACTGCTATCTTGCTTGACAAACATGAATAATACAATAAAGCTAAAATATTCATTCAGACATCTATAAAACACAAAATAATCGAGCAAAAAACATCCTTCTCGATAAGTTCCTCTTCTGGCTCTACAATTATATGTATATGCATGTTTATAAACATAGAATATTCCAGATTAGTAGTCAATAACAGTATTAGTGTTTTTTTTGTAAATAATATCGATTTGTAAATTAAGATCACAATGGAATTACAGTTCATTAAAGATGCTTAAATTATATTATTAATGAAGATATAATAGCAAATAGAATATCAAATAAAATTAAGGAAATATCTACAAAAAGTTGAGGATCATCAGAACCTTGATGGCCAAAGTAAGGTCATTGTCTGAACCAACCAGCTTCTTTTGGACACATAATTTAAGTTTCTTAATGTGGATCCTAACAGCCTCAGCTATATCTAGTGGACGAACTTTTAAAGGTATAGTTAAGATTTGTTGGTATGTGGTAAATGACCCTGAAAGCAGGTTAACGTCAAACTTGTGTTCTGTATCCACAAGATAGGATAGAATAGCGCTATGATGAATAGATTTTCTTTGTCCTTTACTTAAACACTATGCAGGCTGATGTTCAGAACATCACTGATAAGATTTACCAGTGTAGTATATAAAGCGACGTTCATCGGCATGAAAACGTCAAACAGCAGGGAGATAGATATGACGTCAGAAAAAGAAAATAGCTCAGCCTTGTAGAAAAACATGGCAGACTCGAAAAGGATGACAAAGAAATACAATATGAAGAAAGGTGAGAATTAGCACAACACCCTGTACAAATGGTGATTTGAACATGAGGTGAACTTAATTTGGCTACAGAGAGAAATAACAAATTCCAAATAAACATTCCTTTACCATGTCTTTTGTCTTCTCCCCTCACATTAGTAGAGGTTTTATTTTATTAGAATAAAACCAAATGAACAAGAGAAATTATTTCCAATAAGTTGATGGTGGAGGTTTTCGGACATCTCAAATAAACTGTTAGTCAACTATCTCTTTATTCTTAGTCATTTCTGTCTAGAAGATTTTTCATGACTAACAATCCTACTTTTATTCATACATCGCTAGTTCACTTCATGCGTGAAGCACTTTATAAACTCAATTATTATGAAATAAAAAACTGTCCTCTTAATTATGGGTTGGTGTAGTTGGCAAATTTATTCAAGTCAAGAAAACTGTACTGATTAATGCATTAAAATTAATGGCTAAGAGCTTAGAATGTAAAAAGAAGACTAGGCATACATAGTTCTGTCTCACTCAAACTAACGCATTCAGTCGATTAACCGTGAACTTTAGTTGAAGACAAACAGAGATTGTCTGAAATAATCTGAGCGCACTCACAAGCAGAATTTATGAAATTTATTTTACTTCACAAATATATTGACATAAAAGACTGTATTCTATGAATATTGTAAACTTTGACACTATCACTTCTCCGTGGCAAACAGACAAAAACATTTCAAAAATATAATTTCTATAAAAACTGCATTTTCAAGTATTAGTTTTGTAGGGATTTTTTTTTATTGGTTGGAGGATTTCATCATGAGCTGACATCAGTTAGAGAACCACTGAAAAACCTGAAAGGAGTACTGGACAGCCGTTTCGTCCTAGTGCTTGAGAGTCTGTATCAGTACGCATCCACCAAAGGGTTTCAAACCCGGGGCGAGCTCATAGGGACCCGATCCAATGGCCAGTCAGTGAATTTTAACTTCTGCCAATTCAAGATGTAGCGCGACCACTTCTCAATGTCTTCTTCTTCTTCAATGAGTAACTGTCCTCATCTTCTACCTGCTGTACCCTAATGGTCACGGCTTCCCACTAGAACCCCATGTAACTGCTTGGGCTGAATAGGTTCAGTCGCTAGTGAGTATCAGATGAATATTAGAGCATTGGTTTAGTAGGAATTTTGTTTGATTGGTTGGAGGATTTAATCATGAGATGAAATCTCTAAACCCTTATTTAATCATATTTGTTTTTAATTCTTGTTGCCTACAGAAAATAAAATCCCATCAAATGATTCGAGTAATCAAGGTGTTCTTCCTCCTAATGCTGATTTTGACGACAGTGGTGACTTTCATCGTAGTCATATTGCTGATGAATATTGTGTCAAGTCATCGACACCTGTGTCTTTATCATCATTTCATCGATCGCCTTCTTCTCTTTCACCTACGCCTTCCTCACATTCAGCATCTCCAGCCTTAGAAACATCTGTACATACTGCCCCGAGTAGAAAATCATCTTCTGGTCAAATTGTTCGCAGTGGTGATTCAAGAGAACAACAACAACAACAAGAAGGGGAAGAGAATTTACAACAAGCGGCAACCACTTCAAAATCCTTACAGTCAAAACATCGTCACAGCCTCAACTATAATTATCAAAGTCAACTTCATTGTAATGATCTTTCAAAGATTGCAAAAAAGAATTCTTATACCTCATCGATGGCAAATAATGAAAATTATCGATCTTCTCCAGACTTATCAAATGATAAATTTCATAAACCGGCTTTCTATGGGTCAACCGGAACAAATATTCCATGTTTTGCATCAACTGGTCAAGAATTGCTTGAGCATAGAATGGTTGGAATAAGTGAGTAATTATTAATGTCAGTAGGCAGTTTTAAAAAAAACTCATCCCTAATGTATAACTCTGGACAGGGAATACAATTTGTTGATTTTTTTTTCGTTGTTTGAGGATATTTCTGCAAAATTGTAATAATGTGTACCTCATATTGATTTTTCGATTCAATTTCATTCCTTTACATTCTAATTGGAACATAAGGCACACTTCAAACTTCAATTTTGAAGTTCCAGGAGCAGTGATGTTTTTTTATGAGTTGGGTTGCCAGCTCTCCCTCTTCATCGATCTTACTACCTGCTAAGCGAGGTTGACGAGTGTGTCGACTGGAGATCGAACTCCGGACCACAGACGCACCAGTAGCTCAGTGGCTGATTGGTCGATGAGTCTTCTCTGGGACTGAAAAGACCTGTATTCGAACCCCACCGGTGGACTCTATTTCAAACTGTATCTACAAGTTCACTTGCAGCTGCGGTGACACCTATATATAGATAGAATCAATAGAATGTTCCAACGTCGTCGAAAAGAACATGCTCCGAAATGGTTACTAAATCATATACAAAATCCCAAGGCGATTAATCTGAATAGAAATCCATCAGCATCATCCATTGCAAAACACTTATTAATGTCAGGTCACAAAATCACTATTAATGACTATTAGACAACTATTTCACATAACTCTAATTCAAGGTTATTGAAGGTGGTGGAAGCACTTTGGACTAATCACATACAGCCTAAAGTGCGTGCACAAAAAACAATAGACTTCAACCTTCGCCTACTATGGACTACTTGACCTATTTAAGTATGATTGGTCATTAGTATGTACTTTTGTTTCATATAATTGAGTAATTGTCATGCATTTTATTATTATTGTTAACCATGTTAGTTGTAAAGCGGTTGTAAACAAACTACCATATGATATCATCATCTCGCGAATTTTGTCTTCTAAATGCCTTATTCAAATTTCGACCGGAACAAGCTGGATTCAGGAGGAACAAGTCATGTATTGATCAAACCGCCACTCTACGGATCATCATTGAACAAAGCTTGGAATGGCAGTCACCTCTCCACCTCACTCAACTGCATCCACTTTGAAAAGGCCTTCACCAGACAGCGTCGGTCGAGAGGTGATTTGGAAACCACTTCGCTACTACGGGGTCCCATCGACAATTATACATCTCATCCAACAGTTGTATGACAATCCTGCATGCCAAGTAATCCACAACGGGAAACTTACGGAAGCCTTCGAAGTGAGGACAGGAGTGAGACAAGCTGGCTGGCTGACTGCCTACTATCTCCAATGATTTTCCTGATTGCAGTAGATTGGATAATGCGACAGACAACGGGCAATGAATAAATAGGCATGGAATGGACTCACACAAAAGACTTGGAAGATATGGACTTCGTCGATGACATAAATATGTCTGATTTCCCACAAACTGGAACATGTGTAAGTGAAAAGCAACAAGCTGACAGAAGAAGCATCAAAGATAAGTGAACATAGATAAAACAGAGGTGATGAAGATTCCTGGTCAACATCAATAACAACAATAGACAGCAATCAGCCAGCATAAATGGGAGGAACCTGAGAGAAACAACCTCCTTTACGTATCTACCTGGGAAACTTCGTTTCAACTACAGACAGACGGAACTGACGAGGATATCAAAGGCAGAATCGGAAAAGCAAGACAAGCTTTCATTACTCTTAAGTCTGTGTGGAGGTCAACAGCACTCAGCATCAAAAATAACATCCGGATTTTCAACTCCAATGTGAAGTCAGTGCTACTCGCTAAACGGATCAGAGACTTGGCGAGTCATAAAGAGCATCTCAAACAAACTTCAGACCTTCACTGACAGTTTTCTTCGCTCAACACTCAAGATCAGATGGCCGGTTAGAAAAGATCAGCAACAGGGATCTCTGTGAGCAAACCAACCAGGAACCAATTGTGAAACAAATAGGCAGGAAGAAATGGAGGTGAATTAGCCATACTCTGAGAAACCATCAAGTGACAAGCCCTCGAGTGGAACCCGAAAGGGAAGTGGCGAGTTGGTCGTCCAAAGGTGAGTTGGAGGAGGTCATGTGAAGAGGAGGTGAAAGCGTGTGGGCAGACTTGGAGCGGGGTGAAAAAGTTGGCAGAAAACTGAATGCAATGGAGACGTGCAGCTGAAGCCCTATGTTTCTCTAAGAATTAAAGGATATAATAATAACAAATGCCTTATTCAAATTTATCAAAGGGACTAATTGTTTTAATCATGTTTGTTAGTTATTTTCTATATACTTTTGCTTTGTACAGTTAATTGACTCTTTCATACTTTTCCACTCACACTCTTGTGTGACAGTTGATTTCCCTTGTTGGAAAATACGCGTATCCACTCATGAACGCGGGGGTCTTCAGATTTTCCTTTTCGCATCAGGACCAATGAACTACTAAGCGATACCAGTCCTAACGCTATTGTTCATTATATTTCATTAGCGCATATTTACACTCGGTCACACCATAACAAGGATAAAAGTTCCTTCAAGATTGCAGATACACCTTGCTGACTAATGATTACCAAGAATCACGAAACCCAGTTGGAAGACTTTCTGCCGATTGCCTCCAACCACCTGAAATTGAGAAGTGTTATTTGGATTCAGTTATGCATTACACCAAGTAGCCAAAAGAAGTGATCGTAAAGGCCGTTACAAAAGCAGTTAAGAGTTAAGATATTACTCATAGTGTATCATCATTTATTTTTAATTCCGAGACTAATGTGAGGTATAAACGCATGTTATCCATGGATGTAGCACCACTATTCACTAACTTACCGCTTATGGAAACAGTAGATTATATTTGTCAAGAAATGACAGAAAGGCGATTGAACTTAGGAATCAGCTTGTGTAGCCTCAAAGAATTACTTCTTAAATGCACAATGAAGCATCACTTTGTCTTCAGTAATTCATATTATCAACAAGTAGATGGAATAACCATGGGTTCACCATTAAGCCCAGTATTAGCTGACTTCTTTCTCGCAAAACTTGAAAACGGGAAATTGAAGGACATCATCAAGGAGTTTGATATGTATTACTGTTATATGCCGATGATACACTTATATTGATTGATATGAATGCAAATATACACGAATTGTTGATAAAATTCAACAACGTCCACCCTTTGCTTACCTTTACTTGTGAAGACGAGCCGGATAATAAACTGGATTTTCTGGACGTCATGCTAAGTAGGCGTGAAGACGGATCACTTAGGAAAGCATGTATAGGAAAAGCACATTCACAGGGTATTAGACACACTTCTTTAGTTACGTGCCCATTAAATATAAAAGAAATGTTGTTAAGTGTATTATGATCAAAGCAAGAAAGATGTATACAGATGACCTCATACAAAAGGAATTTGAATATGTTCACGATTCCTTGACTGAGATGGGCCAACCGAGTAGTTTCATAAAAAAACATTTGAAAACATCAGAGAGAAAACCTGAGACTCTGACTGCATGTTAAAGAGCTCTATTTATTAGGCTACAATTTAATGGTGACTTGTCAAGTGATATTCTATTCCAAAGACTTTCCGGGAGTATACGAAGAACGTTTTACGCAGCACACCTATGTTTGTCATTCTCTAGCCGACGAATGATTGGGACACAAACGAAGGACGGATAGCTAGGTAGTTTTGCCACATTTATGTGTATTGATCAGTTCAACTGCACCTACGGTGACAGTTAAGTTGGGCGTACTACTAGACAACTTAGTCAACGTGTCAGTGAAGATCTACCATCGTGGTTTGGCAAAGGACAGACAAAAACAATCCGTAGCTCAATTTTGTCACATTTGGATGATAGTGATCATATAGAGCAGAAAACGAGAACTTTCAAGGTAATTCATCGTATTCCACCAAATCTTTCCAATAGACTTCGTATTCGTCTAGTGCATATAGCTGAGGCAGGCGAAAGGCATTCGAACTACTAAGCCCCTAAACTATTCATACGCAAGAAGTTCGTAAAGCCATTATCCCTCCCTTGGTCTATCAAGACATAACCAACTAATGAATTCTACACCACCCCTTGTTTATATTTTCAACCTCTTTCTTATCATCCCTTAATCTTATCTTCATTATAAACGTGTTTCATTTCCTTCCCCTACAATCTAACATTACGTAATCGGTTCATTTGTTTTTACTAGCCCTTATTGACTACTGCGTCTACCTGAACATTTGTTTGTTTAATCATGCTGTTTTTCATTATTCGTGTTATCACAGATTGTCTCAATTTTTCATCCTTATTATTGATAAGACCGTTATTATTATTATCATTACTACTATTATGACTAATTGCACAATTTATAAGCACAATCTTATTATCCTATAGACAAAACACCATGATTGGTTTATATTTTAACATCTATCTCCAAAGTTGTCTATATTAGAGTTAAGCCTGATGAGATCTGCTCGAAAACAATATTGTTCGCTTGAATGTGTTGTTCTAAATTTTACTATGGGAATATTTAATATATTTAAATCACAAGTGTATACGGTGGTGAATAGCGTTCTTAATATGGAAACATTTAGGGTTAATACTTTACTTGAGTGGATGTCTATTAAAACTAAAGTTTTATTACGTTCAATGCCTAAACATTGTATTCCGATATATTTTATTTTTTATCTTCGTTATTGGAATATTTTGAAAACACCTACTTTAAAGTGAGGTATGTTTTGAGCGATAAGGCATTTTAACGTATGATGCTAACATGATATTTTCACTGTTTCTTCACAATATATATATTTATATATACATGTTTGTATGCAATTATTATAGTTGACTATGCGGCGGCTGCTTCAGTATCCAACCTCCTCAGTGAATGGCCAGATGCTCGATTAGTCACTCTCTACCGTAGTGGTCGTAAAAGGGTTTCTTCTGTCCACAGAGATAAAGTCGACCCTAATGATACATTTCGACGTGGTTTTTCATCTAGTGGTGGTGTTGGTGGTGGCGGAAGTCTTGGTTTGAATATTGTTGGCGGTGATGGTTCTGAAGCAACTTTCATTTCTCATATACAACCTGATAAGCCGGCTGGTCAATCTAAAAGGATATTTGTTGGGGATCGATTGTTAACTGTAAGTTTTAAATATATATTTTTTCTGTACATTTTTTGACAACAAAATTTATCAGCTCAACAGTTGAAACTATAATGCGCTCAAGCAGCTCGTGTGGCATTTGCCAACTTACACCATCTCTGGCGTAGCTACAAAATTCGACCAGCTATCAATCAAATGACGTGTGGAATGCGCATCAGTTTGCTTCATTCTCCTTTATGACTGTGAGACATGGTCATTGAAATTGGAAGACATTAAAAGGCTGGCGCTACCGTTTCGCAATCTCTTCTTCGATGAGTCACTGACTCATCTTCAACCTGCTGTACCTTAATGGTCACGGCTTCGCTACTAAAACATCAGGTCACTGCCTGAATAGGGCCAGTCACTAGTGAGCATCAGATTAATTTTCAAGTATTGGTTTTGTAGGGATTTAGTTTGATCGGGTCCCAGTAGCTCAATGGCCTACGAACTCACCTTGTAACCAGAGGGTCCTGGGTTCGAACCTCGGTGGGTGAGTACTGTTGAAGAGTCCTAAACTAGATTGATGAAATAGCTGTCCAGTACTTCCAGGTTTTCCAGTGGTTCTCTAAGTGATGCCAGCTCATGATGAAATCCTCCACTGAATCAAACTTATGTTTCACTGACTTTTCAAAAATGTGGACTCACAAAATTGAAAAAGCGTATGCTTGGCTAATAGGATTTAACATAGACAACAAGAAAGTTTCAAACAACTTATAACTTATGTCAGTGGAAATTTCGTCGAGTTTAAATTAATTAGTTGTAATTTTTTAATTGAAAAAGTTGGTGACGCATCGATATCAGCTAGAGAATCATTGGAAACCAGAAAGTACTGGACAGCTTGTACACCATTCAGCCACTGGGACCCTTACAAACCAAACTATAGAAAATTAATCTGATGCTCGCTAGTGAATTGCTGCAGGACAGAGTTTCCTTGAGTTCTAGTGAGAAGTCGGGATCATTGAGATCCATCCAGATGTCACGCGTGAGGATGGACGTCCCACCACCGACGACATTAGTTGGGGTCACGCTAAATCGCGAATCAGTAGAAGTCAGAATTCATGGACTGGCCATTGAATTCGGTCCCAGTGACTGAATGGTATACGAACTTGACTTATAACCGGAAGGTCCTGAGTTCGAATACTGTTGATGGGTGCGTACTACCGATGATTCTCAAACTAGGATGAAACAGCTGTCCAGTACTCGTTGGTTTTCTATGGTTCTCTAGCTGATATCACTCTGTGATCAACTCATAGAAACAAAACTAACCCTAACAAACCAAACTACAGAAAATTTGAAAAAGTGTTTACATATTCTGCAGGGAAGTTCTGATTCTGGTTCATTGGAAAGGCACAACAATACACCTCATTAATAAAATAGCTTTGTTTCATGCAATACACAATAATGACGCAAATAACCCTTTTTTGAACTCAACTTACAGTCACATGTGAGGTAGGTACTCACATAATTTCAGAACTTTTTTGTATCACTTTAGTTAGTTCTCATCTTTTGTTTGTTTGTTTTATAATAGTAATTATGTCGATGGTTTAAAACTGTTTAAAACTTCTTGAGCTACGAAAATACTCTATCACTTCACTTTGTTTTTTATAATCTATTCTAAAATATGACTTTTAATGGTATTGTTTATTCTCGTGAGTATTTAAAGTGTTTACAATTTGCCGGTTCGGAGGTTTCTAGTAATCTTTAGAAGAAGCATAATAGTAAGGGGTGGAGGAGGTAGGCCACGTATCTCGTTGCATAAGGATGTGTCTCTGAGATTTTTAGAGAAAAAAAAACCATCACTTTCTGAGAAATAAAAACTGTTTACCTGAAAGTTTCAATTATTCAGTTATATGTATTTTCATGGGTCAGTAATGTACTCTCGACCTTTTTCTAATTGGCTTTTAACTAAATGTCATGCATTTCTTTAAGTAAAGAGACAAAAAAGAAGAAATATCATAGGGGATTAGTTTGCGCTTCCTATCAAACCGTAGTGTATCACACGAATCACTATCACAGTGACTATTTTCCTTGAAGATAATGAGCCAAGATATAAACTATTATATGATAATTTCCACTGAAAATTTTGTTGATTATATAAACACTGTTCAGAACAAAACTATTATTCTTATTATTCGATACATTTTTCCCCACAGGCAGTATAGGTATTGTACTATTCTCTGTAACAAGTATGAGGCGCTGTTTCGCCATCCACTTAAGTACACTAACTATTTTTAGTCCTTTGCTTGAAATTCTAATCCTAACAATAATAATAATAAGTTATTTTTTATTATTTTATTCCTTTGCGTTCCTAGAGGAACATTATAATTCAGGCTGGAAGCTTGACGTTTCGGTAGCAGCGCTGTTTATTTTTACAAGATGGGTTTCCTATCCACCTCACGTTCAACCTTCCCTCATTACCAGTCTAATAACTAACTTAGTGAGGTAAAGGAGGGCGTCGGTGGTCAGGGATCGAACCCCAGACCACGTACGTGGTTGGCGAGCATTCTACGTTGTACCATTGATGCTCACTAATAGTTATAATAAGTACTTTATCCCAAACAATAATAATAATCATACACGATGGAAAATTTCGAAATTACGTAATCTAGTGAAAGAGATTATGAAAACATCCTGTATCTACGGTAGCAGTTACATTGGAAGAACAGAAAGAAGTGTATCTCTCCGATATTCTGAATATGAACCAAAATGCCTTATATCTAAAGGGTACAAATGGTTTCGACAGTACTATTCCCAGGCATGTCTTTGACACGCGTAACGACGTGAACATCACAAGATCGTTGAGAATTATGAATGGGCAAAAGAATTCAATTCTCCTTAGGTTTCTCAAAGCAATCTCAGCTGACACGCTAACGAACCCACAAGAGGTAGAACAGGGTAACTCTAGGTAAGCAGGTCAAACTCGCTGGCCATTCAGCTACTTGAGTGATGAAGGTCTCCCTTGCCTTTATGATTCTAGTTTCGACATCAACATTTGCGTTGTCACCTGCAGTTGAAAAGATGTTGTCTAGATAAGTAAGGGGGAAGAACCTTTTTTTCAAATTTACACTGTTGACAGCGATTGGTGCTTGTTGTTGTTGGTGGTGGTGGTGATGATGGTCACTTATCTTCGACATCTCCATCTTCTCTACGTTCACTTGAAGTCATGTCTTTGCTACCTGCCTCTTCTGTCATCCTGTTGGTTTTCGCCTGTATGTTTCCTTGGAATTTATCTGATATTAAACATTAATCATCCGCGAAATCCAGATCTTCTACAGTCTTCTTATCGGTCTAGTATATTCGTGTCTTCTTGCATGCACACACAGTCTTCTGCATAATCCAGTCTACCAGACAAGTAGCCTTGTCCAACTCATGTTTTCATTTGAAAGGCTTAGCCGAGTTTTCTATTGTCGATCACCTGACAGGTGACATCATCACATAGCTGTTGAATGAGGTTGATAAAGACTTAAGACACGCCTTAGTGTTAAAGTAGTTTTCACATTACTTCACGAACAACGCTATCGAAGTGGTTTTCACAGTTGATTCCTTACTTTAATGTTATTTTATTACGTATGTAAGTATTTCATACCATACAAAGTTTGGTGAAATGAAAGTTATTGCAAAAAATACTCGGTTTGTACTCTATTTGAAAATATGTAAGTCAAGTATAATAAAATGTATGGATGGGTGAAAAAATAAGCATTATTTATCTGGATGTCAAAGTATATACATATATACATAGATATACTAGCTATCCCCACGTAGATAGATAATTATAATAACATTAATAATTCATTTGGTCCGATCAAAATCGATTTTATGAACTCTTTCTGCTGATTGAAACACAATCACTGATTGGTTAATCAATAGTTTCTCTTTTTTTTCAAATCCGCTTAAGTTTTATAAATTATTATACGTGGAAAATTTCTTGCTGGCTAATGTTAATGAGAATCATAGTTATTGTTACTCTAGTGATTAAAGGATCTGCTGAATTATCATAACCAAACTATCAATTAGAAAATGTTAATTTTTGTAAAATATGGTGAAGTCTGAAAAAAATAAGCAAAACATATTACATAAAGCAGAGTTACCCTCTGTGAAGAGAACTGCAGTACTCTGACAGACAACAAATCCAAAGTATAATAATTTAAGTCGATGTAGCAAAAAGTGACTTAGAATTATTTCTCTAGTTCATACCTTAGCGAATATGAGTAAAGCAAAAAACAAAAAAACTCATACATTTGGTTCCCTTGATAAATTTCGATAAAGAAAGGAAGACGAAATTTGCAGTATAAAATGATATCATTCTATTTCACAGGTTCTCATCAGCTGCAGACTACCTGAAATTACAATGGTTATATAGATGATAATAAGATACTTTAATGTTCGAGTGGTGGCAGAAAAGAGATACTATAAAATTGACGCATCTAAATGAAAGCATTACAATGTTTTTAGTTTAAGTTTTCATCATCAATTTATACGCTTTTAAAGTTGAAAAGAGTGGGAGGGGTAAGAGAGAAAACAGAAAAAATTGATTAACAGAACAGTGTTAGCTTTTAGGTTCACATAGCTACTCAAGAAACAAAAACGGTTACAGTTTATGAGATTAAGATTTGTTCAGTGAGTTGAGATCATTGAATTAGATGACTAATCAAAATCAAAATTCTGTTACCAAGGGAGTGAGAGGTTAATCACACTCTCTTTCTGTATGCATAAGTCTGGTTTAAGTCTTTTGATTGCGATTGCTTCGGCAAATCGTAGTAAATTTGCTGTCCTTTGTCTATTTAATATTTTGAAGGACTTAGAAATCTCTACGAGATGTCCGGTACCAATAATGTGTCTGGTAATTGCACTCTGGGAATATCTGCTTCCTTTCAGGCACAGGTTTTTGGGAATGTGTTCAGAAAACCGGATAGAAACCCTTCTTTCTGTCCTTCCAATGTACTTGCTCCCGCAAGTGCACGTGAATTCATAAACGCAGTTGGAGGTGACATCAGTAGGGT